AGGGATTAAAAAACCTCTCTCTGTAGCACCTCCTTTTAAGCATCTGCAGGGAGTAGCTGCAGGGACCGCTCGCCCAGGCAGCCCAATGCCAGCCTTAGGTGCAAGGGATGGCTTCCCCCTGGGGTCCTGGCTCAGAGTGAGTCACGGGCTGGGGCTTGGCCAGGAGCTTCAGGAAGGCCACCCTGAGTCCGGCCCCAGGCGGAGGGGCAGAGGGCGCTGGGAGTCTCCCAGGACCTGCCTGAGACAGGCTGCGAGGTAGCAAGCGGGAGGGCAGTGCTGGGCAGCGGGGTGGCCAGCAGCTCACGGCTCTGGAGATGTCTGTCCAATAAGGTAGCCACCAGTCACATGCGGCTACTTAAGTTCAAGTTATTTAAAATTAGACAAAATTAAACATTTACTTCCTCATTCACTCTAGCCCCCTTTCAAGTGCTCAGTAGCCATATGCTGTTAGTGGTTACTGTATTGAATGACTCAAGTTTGTAGAACTGGACACAGCTGCTTTCCCTCATCCCTCAGCCCCACGTGGCCAGCCCGAGGGGCACACTATTCCCTGTGCTTCCCACCCCATCCCTGTCCACACCTGTGTCAGTGGTTCCTAAAACCTCTTCGAATTCCCATTTCTGTGTGTCTTCCGAGCTCCTGTGCAGGAAAACCGGCTCTCCAGAAAAGAGCCGATGTGCAGTGTACGTGTAGATCTGCACAGTAGACACTCCCGCTGTGGCGGCTTCCAGCTCCCGGTGGCTGAACAACCGGCTGCAGGCTCTCAGGAAGCTGGGATGAGCCCGCCCAAGGCAACCCCGCCCTGCCTCTCCCGCGGGACCCTGACTGGGACAGGGGTGTTGGGCTGCTGCCTCTACTGCCTGCAGTGGCCTAAGGTGATGATGCAGACTCCCCTTCTAGGGCCCGCTGCCCAGGGCCACAGCGTCACTATGAGCCCTCAGTTCTCATCACCCCAGAGCCAGGTTAAGCGGATGTGGGAGAACCACTTTGTCATCTGGGCCCCAAAGTGGCACAGCTTACGTTCTGAGTCCCACAAGCTGCCCCGTGAAGGAGTTCCCGCAGCCTCCATCTCCCATTCTCTCTCTGTCTGTGTGTCTCTCTCTTTCCAAGGATCAAATCAGGCAACAACAACAACAACAACAATAATAATAATAAAAAGAAAGAAAAAAGAAAAAAAAAAGAAACTGCGAACTTCTTCCAATTCTATGGTCTTCTCATCTCTATGTGCAGGATTTGGTTCCCCAAGTGCATCCTTCTAGATCCACTCTCCCTCCTTCCTGTCGGTTCAGGAAAAATGATACTGGGTGCAAGTGACGGTGAGGGTGGGACAGACACATCGACCAGCCCAGGGCGACTCTGAGTCGCACTAAACAAGCACCACTGCTAAGCAGCCAACAGCAGAGCTTCGATGAAATGTATCGTGGTTTCCCCAGGTGATGGGATATGACAGCCCTGTGAAGATGCTTCACGGTGTGGGGAAGGGTTACGGCACACTGTCACATTCAGAAGCGAGAGATGTCTTTCTGGTCGCATGCCGCAGCATCAATGGGTCGTGGGGACATGACGCCAAGTGCAATAAGCCAGACACCAAAGGGCAAATACCGTGTGATCCCACTTCTGTGAGGCATCTACAGTAGACTCACAGAAACAGGAAACACAGGGGTGGCTGCCAGGGCTGGGAGGAGGGAGGAAGGGGCGCTGTGCAGTGGGTAGAGTTGCAGTTTTGCTGTTTGAAGAAGTTCTG